ATGCTGGTGCTCCTGTGTTGGGTGCATATATATTTATAATGGTTATATCCTCTTGTTGGATTGACCCCCTTATCATTATTTAATATCCTTCTTTATCTCTTGTTACTTTCTTTGTTTTGAAGTCTGTTTTGTCTGATACTAGTACTGCAACACCTGCTTTTTTCTCCCTGTTGTTTACATGGAATATCTCAACTTTTGCTTGTCTGGGTGTTGTTTAATCCCTCCTTCATATTTAAATGATAATCATGCTGGATACAGTATTCTTGATTCAAGGTCCTTCTGTTTCATTGCATTAAATATATCATGCCATTCTCTTCTGGCCTGTAAGGTTTCTGTTGAGAAGAAGTCTGATGATAGCCTGATGGGTTTTCCTTTGTAGGTGACCTTTTTCCTCTCTCTAGCTGCCTTTAAAACTCTGTCCTTGTCCTTGATCTTTGCCATTTTAATTATAATGTGTCTTCGTGTTGTCCTCCTTGGTCCCTTCTGTTGGGAGTTCTGTGTACTTCCGTAGTCTGAACGATTATTTCCTCCCTCAGTTTGGGGAAGTTTTCAGCAATTATTTCTTCAAATACACTTTCTATCCCTTTTTTTCTCTTTTTCTTCTGGTACCCCTATAATACGGATATTGTTCCTTTTGGGTTGGTCACACCATTCTCTTAATATTGTTTCACTCCTGGAGATCCTTTATCTCTCTCTGCGTCAGCTTCTATGCATTCCTGTTCTCTGGCTTCCATTCCATTAATGGCCTTTTGCATCTCATCCATTCTGCTTTTAAATCCTTCCGGAGATTGTTTTATTTCTGTAGTCTCCCTCCCTACTTTGTCTGTTAGCTCTGGTATTTTTCTTTCCAGCTCCATCAGCATGGTTATGACCTTTATTTTGAATTCTTTTTCAGCAAGATTGGTTAGATCTATCTCTCCAAGCTCCTTCTCAAAGGTTGCCTATGTGATTTTGGTGTGGATCAAATTCTTCTGCCTTTTCATGGTGATAGAGGTAGTTGTGGGGAGCTGGCACGTGTGTCAGCTGGGAGAACATCCCTTATTGCTAGTTTGTGGCCTTCCTCTCCTGGGAGAATGGTGACCTCTAGCAGCTTGTGCTGGGCAGCTATGCACAGACAGGGTCTCTGATTCTTGCCCAGCCACTGTGAAGGAAGCTCTGTGCATGGTTGCTGTGGGCGTTGCCTCTCTGAGGCTGCTGCTCTGCTATGGCAGAGCCATGTCAGAGGGGGAACGGGCGGGAGGCTGTTTATTGCCATCGAGGGGCCTCTGAGTTGTGCTGTGGCACAGGGGGTTAGGGCGCTCGGAGTTCCCCGGGATTCCCAGCTTCTGGGCTCTGTGTCCCAGGATGCTTCCATCCAGCTGTGGGGTCCCTGTCCCTTTAAGAGTTTCAAAGCGCACTCTCTTTTCTTTGTCCCAGGGGCGCCAGCTGTGTCGACCCACTCACAGGATTTACTGTTCCGTTTCCTTAGTATCCAGCACACCACGCGCTGTGTGTCTGTGCTCCTGGTGCAGATGGCTAAGGCTGGGTATTTAGCAGTCCTGGGCTCCCTCTCCCTCCCCGCTCCAACTCCTCTCCTCCTGCCGGGAGCTGTGGTGAGGGGCACGACCCAGGCAGTGGTTTGTATCTTACTACCTTCGTGAGGCTCTGGGTTCTCGCAGATATAGATATAGCCTGGCTGTTGTCCTGTATCTTATGATCTTTCTTTTAGGAATAGTTTGCATTTGTTGTATTTTCAAAAATATATATGGTTTTGGGAGGAGATTTCCACTGCTGTACTCATGCCACCATCTTGGATCCTCCTCTTTTCTCTTCTAAAAGTAGGGCTGGATTATTCTAAGAATTCTTAATTGTTCTCCTGGCATCTGGTCTTTTCTGCCATAACCCAGTCTCTCATAGCAGTCTCTGATTTACAGCTCTAAAAGGGATTTCATTTCCTTATACCATTCTGTCTGAAATCCTCATTATTATGACATGGAAGGTCCTTTGTGACATGGCCACTACCCATCCTAACAAGAGCACACTGATCAGTTTTTCTTACTGAAAACTGTGGTCTAGTGCTAAGTAGAGCTAGTCTTTTGAGGTCCCACTCACTTACCATGCTTCTCTCTACCGCTAAGCCTTTTTTTATTCTAGTTGCCCTCCCATCTGGAAAGGATTTTTGAGTTTATGCATCAAATGGCATTTTTCTAACATGACAATTTAATCCCATAATTTGGCTTCAAGTTGAGGATTGAATGAATTTAGGGATATCTAGAGCTAGAAGTCATAGGACTTTATAAGTTCATATCTTTAATTTTTTCAAAATAGGATTGGGATTATTGCAAGATTTTTGATGGGTCTCTTGAGTATAAAATAATTTCTGTCATGATTCCTCATGCAAATGTCTGCCAGATTAATTTCCTTAAAGCAATTCCCTTTTCCATATCAGTCTCTGACTTACAGTGCACATTTAGTGCTAAATTGCACAATGTAATTTTTTAGGAGTTCCTAGATGGGAGAAACCAGGAAGGTTAGGTAGTCTAGTCAAGCTGGAGCCATGAGGAAGGTGCCAAAGAAAATGTGTCATTGGTGTAGACACACTGAAAGTAGGCTTTAAATTGATGGACAGGTCAGAGAACAGCTTTCTGCTTGTTCTGATTGGACTGTTTCTTCTAGGGAAGGGGTGAAGGACTGGAATCAACATTTATTATGTCCAAAGTTCAGTAACTACTAGGGATAAAAGACTGTTTTTACTCATTTCTGCAGAGAAATCATGAACTGGGAACCTAAGGGATGCTCTAGCTTCCTCTTTGACATAATGGGAGGTACATGTGGTACATCAGATGCTTACACATTTAGCCTTCAGAGCAGTGCAGGCATTATGTCCTATATTCCTGGAGAAGAGCCAGCAATAGCCACCAGCTTAGGTATGACATGGGACTTGATACATACTTACTGACAATAAGAGAAGTGATAATGCCTGGAATTCCTTATTCACAAGGAGAAACACAAAGAAAGATACATAAGTCATTTTATCCAACCAGGGTGCTACTTTATAAATGAATGTGGCAGTACATTGTAAGATTCCATCTATTTGACCCTGAGTTTTCTCTTTCAGGTATAATTTTAGCAGTGGTGTTTATCCGGATAAAGAAGAATAAAGGCAAAGATAATGTTGAAAGTGCTCAGGCATATGAAGTGAAACCTCTGAGAAACTGAATTTAAAAAGGAATGTTTGAGTTTATGTACCAAGTGCTATTTCAGTAACAACCATTCAGTCCCATAACTTTACTTTTTATCCAACATGTGCACTGTAATTTTTTACAGATATACCCTCTTGCCCTTTAATATTTTATTACTCTTTGATATTTCATGTGCTATAGACATGACAGATGTTTTCCACTTTCCCATGACACTCTTCCCTTCTGCAAAAGCCATAGCTATTTATCCAAAACCAAAAATGTATGTGTTTTTCCCCCTCAGGGAAAGATGGGCTGATGAAATAGTCTGTTCAATTTTCTTCACCACGGAGATTTATCAGTCACCCACCACAGAACTTTCTGGATTCCACTTATGCTTTTTCTGGTCCATCCTGTGTCCCCTTCTTCACATCTCCTTTGGCATTTCACTAATTTTAAAACATCTGTTGGAGAAAAGAACAAAGCAAAGCCTCAGGAAAAAATTAAAGAGGAGACGTGTCCCTTATCTTGAACAGAAACTCTTCAGTGTTGTTAACCTTCTTGAGCTCAGTGTGGCTTATGCAGGGCTTCTTTTGAGTTTTTTCCACTTGGGAATGGCACAAGCCCCACACAGACCACACAGAAGCCCACTTCATGATCCTTGGTGTGGAAGCCAGCCACTGACAGGGCTTACTCACTCCCTACCGTGCTTGCATGCTGCGCATGTTTTCTTTGTGTGTATAGTAATAAAGTTTTGGTTATTGTATATTTAATGGTAGAGGAAAATAAGGAAGCATGAAAGAAGTGGGGACAAAAATCCAAGAATAAACGTTGGCTGTGGTTTTGTTTCTCGGATCTCTCTGGCTCTGCTTCCTGGTTCTCTGTATTCATTAAGGGAAGGACTAGAGGACAATGGTCACCTACTGCTTATCAAAATTTCCTCCCACGTAGAATTGGCCCATAAGGAAGGGTCTGCAATGCTTGCCCTGATTATTATCGTAACTGAAAGACTGAGGCAGTCCCAAAGTGGGTCTGGGGAGGTGGATTTGGGGGTCTCCCTTGCCTCAGTTTGGTGTTGCCCTCTCTGGACCAGCTTGTATCACCTAATAATAGGCTGCTCACACAGAACCTTCTCATCTAAAATCATCAATCAGTATTTTTACTTTCTGTGCTGTTTTTCCCCCAGATGGGCCCTCCCTCTTAACCTTCCCCTCTTTCCGCAGCCAGATCGTATGCATTCTGAAAGTCTTCAAGATCAGTTTAAGTACTGTTGCCTTTGGGAAGCCTTCTCTGATTTCCTACAGGAGACCAGGCCACTATTTCATTTACACTCCCACACTGGGGAGGAAAATTTTTTGGCCAGGATGCATTCCTTCTTCTGGTAGGGGAAGTCCCATTCCCCCTGGAGATGTCTCCCCCACCCCCACCTAGTTTATACAGCTTGGGGAGAGCCGGCCCTCTGTTCTCCTCTGTCCACCTGGCTCTAGAGATGGGCACTTTATCGCAGTGAGACTCACTTCCAGAATTTTAGTTGAAACTCTTAGAATATAGCTCACTTTAAGTAGAATTTGCTAAATTAGTTGGAAGTAAACTTAGAGCATTTTGATCCCCACGAGAGGTGAGCCTGCCCCAGGATGAGGAACACAGAGAGTCAAGGGATGAGAGGAGAAAATTTTGAACATATTGAGTACCTGGATTCAGCTGTGTCTGAAGGCAACTTTACCCTGGACTTCTCTCTCCCATGAGCCAGTACGTTCCTTTTTACCTAAAGCTGTATGGCCTTCTGCCCCTTGCAACCAAAGAGGGGATATTTGGACCTTGCTTACGCTCTACAATTAGAGCCCATTTGATCTCCACAACTAGTCTGGGACTTCTAAGAATCTTTTCAATACCACAACAAGTCTTGACTCATAGTGACTCCTCCATAATTTTTTGAAGAATGAATAAATGAAATAACTGGCTGATTTTGGCCACTTATACTACTGTCGTCTAAACGCCATGCATTTGAAAAATTGGAACTAATTCATTCTTTGTGTTCCTTTAAGAGTATCCAGGAATACTTTAAACTCCCACTTCACCACTCTCCTTTTCCCTACATACAAACCCTGACAGCCACTGAAACATCCTTAGGGCGGCTGTAATGGTGAATGCGGCCTGTGAGCGACAAAGCCCCTAAAATGCCTGGTGGTTAAGAAATGGCAGTGAGACTGGGTGGGTCTCAGGGGCTAGGGTGGGATGTGTAGGTGACAACTTGTGTGAGCAGCTATGTAGAAAGTTTCAGGGGTGTCTGAGGAGCAGTAAATAAGGAGTGAGATCTCAGGGTGTTGGCCCATGGTCTAGATAAACCACAGGCAGGAAGCTGAGGTTGCCTCAGAAAAGCATCTAATGCAAGAAGGAAACAATTCGCTTCCCAGGTTCTGTACAATGCTGTCTGCATTATGGGAGCTTGTTAAACTTGGAACTTTAAAAGTTTCCTGAAAATATACAATACCTTACAATTCAACTTAAAAAAATTATTTTTACCATTTTTAAACATACAGTTCATTTGCATTAAGCACATTCACATTGTTGTGCAGACATCACCACAATTCATCTACAGAACTTTTTCATCTTCCTAAATGAAACTCGACCCATTAAAAAATAACTCCTCATTTCCTTCCTCCCCCAGCCCCTGAAAGCCACTAACTTTCTGTCTGTATGAATTTGACTACTGTAGATACCTCATATAAATGGAATCACATATTTGTCCATAATAACAATGTTTTGAAATAGTAACAGAGAAAAAAAGAAAATAATGTTCAAACCTGGAAGCTCTCTCATGAGGAGACTATCTCAAGGTTAATTTTATTTTTTATTTTGCCTGCATTCATGTTTGTCATGTATATTGTATACACTTTCATGCTTATTTTATACACATGTGAATATATCCATATAATATACACTCAATGCACATGTGTTTCCCAAACACCACACAAACTGGCATTGTTCCTAAACTTCTCACAAAAGCTTGTCTCATTCTGGCTGAGTCCCAAAAGGTGTGGTCAGGCGTTGGATGTCAGCTGTCTGCTCCAGGGGTTCTCAATGGATGCATGTTAGAACCACCTGGAGGAGTTATTAAAAAATATTCATTCCAGGGCCCTGTCCCCAGCTTAACCAGCATCTCTGGGCAGGGGACCCTTTAGTATTTTCTAAATCTATTTCTAAAATCTCCTCCAGTGAGTCTAATGTGCAATGACACCTGAGACCCTCATTCCAGATAACCCCAAGAGGGCCAAGTTAGTACCAGGCTAGTGTGGGAACATGATTCTTTTTAGGGTCTAAATCAGCATCCTTCTTCAGAATATCAGCTCCCTAATCCTGTCAACTTTCTGGGCACCTTAACCCTAAGCAGTCCTGCCCAGACCCTGTCCCAGATGCAATCATGAGTGAGGGCTGTTCCACAACTGTGGCCAAAGCTCAGGAAGGCAGGAGGGGCTGCTGTCAGGAGAGCCATTCTCTGCCCACAAAGATCCTTCAACTCCATTGAGGAGCAGCCTGTGGGTCCAGACCCAGCACTCTGCTACCATGTCAGAACCTGCAAGCTCCTGCCATGAAGTTGAGAAGAAGGAAGCTGGTTTTTCCTGCAGCAGAGCAGCAGCCCCCTTTGTAGGCCAGAGCTGAGCAACGAGCAGCAATGTTACACTTTTCATCACAGAGGCATCTCTCCAAAATTACTCTAAAATTGCATGTTTGTGTAAAGTGACCCTCTTTATGCTTGTGCTTGGATAATTAGCTATTTAAAGAAATATTTTGATAGTACAAAAACAAAGAATATTTTAAAAAACACAAACAATTACTTACCATTTAATTGGTTTTCCATTTTTACATACAGTGGTCCCCCCTTACCCGCAAGGGGAATGTTTCAAGACCCACCAGGGAATGCCTGAAACCTCAGATAGTATCGAGCCCTACATATACTGTTTTTTCCTGTACATACATACCTATGGTAAAGTTTAACTTATAAATTCAGCACAGTAAGAGATTAACAACATAACTAATAATAAAATAATTGTAACAATATTCTGTAATTAAAGTTACACGAATGTGATCTCTCTCTCAAAATATCTTCTTGTACTGTACTCACCCTTCTTGTGATAATGTGAGATGGTAAAATGCCTACATGATGAGAGGAAGGGAGGTGAATGAGATGAGAGGAAGGTAGGCATTGCGCTGTAGCATTGGGCTGCTGCTGACCTGACAATATGTCAAGAGGATCATCTGCTTCTGGACTATGGTTGACTAAGGGTAACTGAAACCTTAGAAAGCTAAACTACAGATGAGGGGGGACTACCGTCCTAGCTTGGTACAGGGTCCATTTGACATTTCAAACTGATTTCTTGAGTATGCACTATGTGCTACTCATTTGTAAGCCATCTGGGCCCTGAAGACAAGGAAGGTAGCCTCCTGAGATGGTAGAAAATTCTAAAGGGCAAGGGCTGCCCTGAAATCCAGGTCTAATAATGTCAATGGCTAAAGCACAAGTCATACTTGAAGCTTCCATGAGGTATTTGTATCCAATGGTCATTGGCTTCTCTGGACAGGAACCAAAGCCCCTCTTTTCCTGTGATCCTTGTCCAAGGTTCCTCAGAGGGCAGTGAGACAGGGAGGGCAAGTGAGGAAGGGGAAAGCTACAGAAACAAGGGGTCATCTGATTTAGAAAAAGCATTTCATTTTTCCCATTGCAACAGTTGGTTTAATATTTAAGTCCCAGATTTGAAAAGCTACATTTGGAAAAGGAGGAGGGTGTGCACAAGGGAGGCAGGAATAAAAATAGCATGAGTGTTTACCCAGCATTTTTAGTGACTCTCTTAAATTAAGTGCAGGACTGGGAGAAAACAATATATTTTTGGTAGCAGAATATAAAACTAGGCCTCTTTGCCTAGTTTTGTCTTGGCCAAGAGAAGATCCCAAAAGCAGAATTTCTTGCAGCTTTGCTCAGGCACAAAGTTGGGCATGGCCTTGGCTGGCGGCAGACACAACCAAGAAAGATTCTGGAAGTGCCCAAGTCCACTGTGGGGCAGAGGGGTAGAGGCCGTGGCTTAGATCCCCTGCTGCATTTTGCATTTTGCAGTGGCATCTCAGACTGCCTTCCCGGGGCTAGAGGGAAAGGGATTTCCCTCAGTAAACAAATCCTGGCACAGTGGGTGCCAAACATTGGCACTGGGGTAAGGCTCCTACGGGGTTTGAATTCTTCCAGGGCTGTTCTGCATCCTCTCAGCTCAGCTGCTTCCCCTCTGGTGGCACCATGCTTGGCCAGGCAGGAGACGAGGAAGTGTTGCTGGGCCCACTTAGTAGATAGGTACTAGTGTGTTCTGCAGGAGGGCCTTCCATGAAGCAGACACAGAGACAAAATGAGACAAGGAAGAGATATAGGAGAGGTGAGGCATGGGAGGAGTAAAGGGGACGGACGAGAGAAGGCTGGGAGCCCCAGAACATGAGGGATGTTGGACTGTTAAGGAGGAGAAGGAAGGGAAGAGGATTGGTAGGAAGAGTGTCAGGCCATGCACAGCTCTGAGAATATCTAGGCAGGGAATGCCGAACCCCAGTGCCAAGATTGTTGGGCAGAAATCACCTGGCTTTGGAAGCCCCCTGTGCTCATGGCAGACTGAGGGTGTGATCCTGAATGCTGAGGCAGCCCTCAGCTAGCTCCTGAAGTCGGGGCCTCTTGAAGGAAGGTCTGAGCCTGCCCTCCCCTGCTCTCAGACTTACTTTGCTCTTTTGCTCTTATTTGTCAGCTATTTATTGAGTTTCACTATGGCCAGATACTGAGCTGGTCAGTAGGAACACAAATAACAGTAGCTAGTAATTCTACAATG